CGCCTTCCTTCACTGCCCCAAAGCCTGAGGAGTAGAAATGGCTTTTTCCAAGCTGCCTGTTGAAGTTCATGTCATGGCATTTACCAGGAGCCTGCAAACAAGAGCAAATCCAGCAGCTGAAACTGCTTCCTTGAAATAAAGCAGTGCTCCTGTTGGGTAAGAGAAATGAAACATTACAGGAGGATTTCTGAGCAGGAGGAAGTTGGAAACAGTCAAATTAAGAGCTCACCCCTCCCTCTCAGGAAGGGAAGACTTTTGTGGAGGGGATTTCTGAGCACTCAGTGCTTCCATAGACCCTGGCAAAACCAGGTTTTGGAGAACCTCCCCTGTCCATCTGACCCCCAGGCCCCAGCACTGCCCGCAGAGCACAGGACAGAGCTCTGCAGCTGCCTCTGAATGCAGTATTCATGGTGAGGAAGGGTTCTGAGCTGCATTCCTGCCCTTTTGCCCACTAGCCCAGATTGGAGCAGGAGCAGGTCCCACACACCTGGCAGCTCAGGGCCCCCTGGCACACCTGGGGAGGAGGGAAATTCCAGGGAGGAACACCTGGAAACAGGAACTGCTTTCCCCCTCACAAGTGACTTCAGCATTAAACAGCCTGCCCAGCTTTAATGCATTCATTTCACCTCCTCCATTGACTCACAGTGTGAAATCTTCCTCACAGGTCTAAACCAAAGTAACTCCAGGTTTGTGAAGTGTTAGATATCACTGAAAGGCTACAGGAGCACAGAACCACTCACCTGCATTGAAAAGTCTCTCTGCCACTGCCCCAGGCAATGGGAGCTGAACACCTCCACGGGCCTGACAACTTTAACTTGGTCTGAGCTGCCAGACACTCACAACACCTGCCTCAAACCAACAAAACTGCACCCAAACTGCTCCTCACTGCTCACAAAGGGCTTGCTTCCCACAAGAAGCCTGAAGTAAAAGCCCAACTGATGACATCTGCCTTCTGTAAAACTAAGAGGTTTTTTAGCCCTTAGTTTTGTCACTTTCTGTTTTAAAAAATAAATAAATTTTTAAAAATGTAAGTTAGGGCCTTAGCTCCCTCCCTGTTTACTTGATGCCAGGACAGCCCTTTACCTCTTAAATCCCAGAATCACTGAGGCTCTTGTTCACCCAAGACCACCGAGTCCAACCTTAGACCTAAATAAAGTTAAAAGTTGCACTGGCAAAGACTGAAAATACCTCACCTTGCAGTCAGTCAGTAGCTGCTCAAGTTACTATGTTTTTAAGTGTTTTGTAGCCACAGCACATCCTTCAGACATCCAACTCTTTAAAAACTTAGTGATGAATTGGTACCTGCTGTTGTAATTCTATTTGTTTCCACCTGGCCAAATACAATGTGCTGTCTGCTGTGGAATTTCAAGGTCTCCTACTGTTTCTTCCAGATCTAGGCTGCCTAAAAATCTTCATTACATAATTTTTTTTTAAAATAAATCTGTATTATTTAAGCACAGCTGAGAAGTTAAAATAGTTCAGTCCTTAAAGCCCACAGGACTGGGAAAGGCCCATGAAACTATTTAAATCTAGGCACAGTTCATCAACAGAAATTTGTTTGAACACTAAACCAGAGACAACAAAATCATGGTTTCTTCTCCCTGGCACCAAGGGGAAAACAATTAATGTAATAAAAATATGATGAATTCAAATCCTTATCACCTGAATCACCCAATCTGAATCCCTCTTTAGGCTCTCTAAAGCTGCCCCAGAGCAGCCCATGCAAGCAGGCTGAGTGTGGAGCTCAGTGAGGCTCAGGCACCAAGCCAGGCCCAAAGCCTGGCTTTAAACTTCCAGATGTGGTTCCTTCCCTCTTCAAAAACTGTCCCAGCTTCCACAACACACAGCTGAACACACCCACCCTGGTTTAAAGGGCTGAGAACACCCACCTTGGTTTGAAGAACTGAGAATATCCACCTTGGTTTAAAGGGATGAGAACATCCTCCTTGGTTGAAAGGTGTCCCAATTCAGAACATCCACCTTGGTTTAAAGAACTCAGAACATCCACCTTGGTTTAAAGGGCTGAGAACATCCACCTTGCTTTAAAGAACTCAGAACATCCTCCTTGGTTTAAAGGGATGAGAACATCCACCCTGCTTTAAAGAACTCAGAACATCCTCCTTGGTTTAAAGGGATGAGAACATCCACCTTGGCTTAAAGAACTCAGAACATCCTCCTTGGTTGAAAGGTGTCCCAATTCAGAACATCCACCTTGGTTTAAAGAACTCAGAACATCCTCCTTGGTTTAAAGAACTCCTAATTCAGAACATCCACCTTGGTTTAAAGGGCTCCTAATTGAATACACCCACTTTGATTTAAAGGGCTCCACAACTGAACACATCCACCCAACTGAGAACATCCACCTTGGTTTAAAGGCTGCACAACTCAGAACATCCACCTTGGTTTAAAGAACTCAGAACATCCACCTTGATTTAAAGGGCTCCTAACTCAGAACATCCACCTTGGTTTAAAGGCTGCACAACTCAAAATATCCTCCTTGGTTTAAAGAACTCAGAACATCCACCTTGATTTAAAGGGCTCCTAACTCAGAACATCCACCTTGATTTAAAGGGTTGCCTAACTGAACACATCCACCTTGGTTTAAAGGGCTGCACAGCTGAGAATATCCACCTTGATTTAAAGGCTGTACAACTCAGAACACCCACCTTGGTCTAAAGGGCTGCACAACTCAGAACATCCACCTTGGCTGAAAGAACTCAGAACATCCCCCTTGGTTTACAGGGCTCCTAACTCGGAACATCCACCTTGGTTTAAAGAGCTCCTAATTGAATACACCCACTTTGATTTAAAGGGCTGCACACACTGAACACATCCACCCAACTGAGAACATCCACCTTGGTTTAAAGGCTGCACAACTCAAAATATCTTCCTTGGTTTAAAGAACTCAGAACATCCACCTTGGTTTAAAGGGCTCAGAACATCCACCTTGGTTTAAAGGACTGCCTAACTCAGAACATCCATCTTGGTTTAAAGGGCTGAGAATATTCACCTTGGTTTAAAGAGCTCCTAATTGAATACACCCACCTTTATTTAAAGGGCTCCTAACTGAACACATCCACCTTGGTTTAAAGGGCTGCACAACTCAGAACATCCACCTTGGTTTAAAGGGCTGAGAACATCCATCTTGGTTCAAAGAACTTAGAACATCCACCTTGGTTTAAAGGGCTCCTAATTGAATACACCCACTTTGATTTAAAGGGCTCCACAACTGAACACATCCACCCAACTGAGAACATCCACCTTGGTTTAAAGGCTGCACAACTCAGAACATCCACCTTGGCTTAAAGAACTCAGAACATCCACCTTGGTTTAAAGGGCTCCTAACTGAACACATCCACCTTAGTTTAAAGGGCTGAACAGCTGAGAACATCCACCTTGGTTTAAGGGGCTGAGAACATCCACCTTGGTTTAAGGGGCTGAGAACATCCACCTTGCTTTAAAGGGCTCCTAATTGAATACAACCACCTTTAAATAAAGGGCTCCTAACTCAGAACATCCACCTTGATTTAAAGGGCTGCACAACTCAGAACATCCACCTTGATTTAAAGGACTCCTAACTGAACATATCCACCTTGGTTTAAAGAACTGAGAACATTCTTCTTGCTTTAAAGGGCTGCACAACTCAGAACATCCTCCTTGGTTTAAAGGCTGCACAACTCAGAACATCCTCCTTGGTTTAAAGGGCTCCTAACTCAGAACATCCACCTTGGTTTAAGGGGCTGAGAACATCCACCTTGGTTTAAAGGGCTCCTAACTGAACACATCCACCTTGGTTTAAAGAGCTCCTAACTCAGAACACCCACCTTGGTTCAAAGAGCTCCTAACTCAGAACACCCACCTTGGTTCAAAGAGCTCCTAACTCAGAACACCCACCTTGGTTTAAAGGGCTCCTAACTCAGAACACCCACCTTGGTTCAAAGGGCTCCTAACTCAGAACATCCATCTTGGTTCAAAGGGCTCCTAACTGAACACATCCATCTTGGTTCAAAGAGCTCCTAACTCAGAACACCCACCTTGGCTTAAAGGGCTGCCCACTGAGAACAGAACTGAGAACACCCCCCCAGGGCTGCCCAGGACTGGGAGTCCTCAGTCCCACATCACCTGTGCTGTGTGTGATGTAACTGAACTGCTGGAAAAGTGCTGCTTTTCTCTTGCTGCAAAAACCTTTTCCTTGCATTATGGCTCCTTTTTAAGCCCCCTCCACCACCCAGCACTCCCTAAAGCATGCACTGCTCTTGGGTCCTGGGATAAACCAGAGGCCTGGCTGCATCAGCTGCACCTCAGCCAACAAAAAAAAGCCATTTACTGTTCCAAAAACCCCCAGCCTGCTCCAAACCCAGGGAGCCTGGGACAATGCTGGCAGGGCTGCTGCATTCACCACCACAGGAACTGCAGTGAACAATGAGGGTGTCCCACAGAGCTCACAGGAGGTCCTGGATGTGTCCCCTTAAACACAGGATTCTGGAGGTGTCAGAGCCAGCTCTGGCAGCCCAGCCTGGGAGCTGCTCCCTTGGGACTGACTGGTTTGAGTAGGAAGGGACCTGAAAGCTCAGCCAGTGCCACCCCTGGATCCCTGGCAGTGCCAAGGCCAGGCTGAGGCTTGGAGCATCCTGGGACAGTGGAAAGTGTCCCTGCCATGGCAGGAGGGTGGAATTCAATGCTGTTTTGTTCAAAGCTCTTTCCCACCCAAAGCATTCTGTAATTCTATGATTCACCTTCCCCAGACGAGGGATGTGTTGCACAACAAACATAATTCTGGAGGAATTTGAAACAGAGGACTCCATCTTTTTACATGATTCCATATTTCCACGTGTCCAGCACATAACAGAACATGCAGCAGTCACTGCTTCACGACACAAGTTTGTCATCAGTGAAAAATGTCAGTATCAGTATTGTGAGTGTCAAAAGCAGGCAACTGAACACACAAAACACAAGACTTTACTGTCAACACCACAGTCAGTCCCAACAGATCCCGTTACCTGAATCACACTGAGAAGTCTCTCAGGGCAACTTCCACTTTCCCGGGCTCACTTCCTTCTTCAGACATTAAAACCACGACCTAAGGAGAGGCAAATAACACCAAGTGAGCCTTTTCTGCAAGAAAGCAGGGGTGTGCCATGGAAAAACTACACTGCCTCATTTCACAGCCCCAGCACGGTGCTGCTTCTGCCCTGGCTGCTGCTCCCGTTAACTGCAGATCCGGGGAGCCGGCACATCCCGGGTCTCCCGTTAACTCCAGAGCAACGGCGTCTCCACGTTCCAGGTCCCCCGTTAATTACAGATCAGTGGAGCCTACCCATTCCAGGTCTCCCGTTAATTACAAATCAGTGCAGCCTGCATATCGCGGGTCTCCGGTTAACACCAAAGCAATGGAGCCTGCACACCCGGATCCCCCATTAACACCAAAGCAATGGAGCCTGCACACCCGGATCCCCTGTTAACACCAAAGCAATGGAGCCTGCACACCCCGATCCCCGTTAACACCAAAGCAATGGAGCCTGCACACCCCGATCCCCGTTAACACCAAAGCAATGGAGCCTGCACACCCCGATCCCCGTTAACACCAAAGCAATGGAGCCTGCACATCGCGGGTCTCCCGTTAACACCAAAGCAATGGAGCCTGCACATGGCGGGTCTCCCGTTAACGCCAAAGCAACGCAGCCTACACATTCCGGCTGCCTGCCAGCAGCTGTTCCGCGGCCGGGAGGAACACCGGAGCACGGCCAAACCAGCGGCCGTCCCCCCAGCCCGGTGACCCGGCCCCGGTGGGCTCTCCCCCGCCCGGCGCCGCCGTTCCCCGCCGTACCTGAGCCGGTGCCGGGGCTGCCGCGGCTCCCGGGGCTCCAGGGGCGGCCGGGCCGCCTCAGCCGCCGCCGCGCTCCAACGGTCCCGGCCGCCGCCGCGCGGCGCCCCGGCCAATCAGGACCCGCCTCCGCCGGGGGCGCGCGACCCCCCGCCAATCCGCGCCCTCCTGGCCCCGCCTTCTCGCGCCTCTCAGCCAATCGGCGGCCAGCGCCGCCTGGCGCGCTCCCGCCTCCGCCACAGCGCGCCCGCGCCGCGCGGCGCTCACCCCGGGGCGCGGCGGGACTGCGCAGGCGCAGCGCGAGCAGCCCAGGGGCGGCCCCGCCCCCGGCCCGCCCTGAGGGGCTGGGGCCGCCCGAGGGGAGAGGGGCGGGCGGAGCGACGGTCGGGGCTGCGCTGGCGCCTCCGTCAGCCGTGGGTCCCCTCACAGCCATCCCTCAGCCATGGCTGTCCCTCAGCACCATCCCTCAGCACCGTGTCAGCCATGGGTCCCCTCAGCACCATCCCTCAGCACCGTGTCAGCCATGGGTCCCCTCACAGCCATCCTTCAGCACCGTATCGGTCATGGCTGTCCCTCAGCACCGTGTGTGCCATGGCTGTCCCTCAGCACCGTGTGTGCCATGGCTGTCCCTCACAGCTGTGAACAACAGCCATCCTTCCGAAGAGTCCCCTCACAGCTGTGAGCAACTGCCGTTCCCTCAGCATCCAGCCACAGCCATTGCTCAGCTCCATCCCCTCAACTCCCAGGGCTGGAGCTCCTCTGCCATGGAGCCAGGCTGGCAGAGCTGGGAATGTTCAGCCTGGAGAAAGCTCCAGGGAGATCCTGGAGCCACTGGCAGGGCCTGAAGGGGCTCCAGGAGAGCTGCAGAGGGACTGGGGACAAGGCCTGCAGGGACAGGAGCCAGGGAATGGCTCCCAGTGCCAGAGGGCAGGGCTGGATGGGATCTTGGGAATGGGGAATTGTGCCCTGGCAGGGTGGGCAGGCCCTGGCACAGGGTGCCCAGCCTGGATCCCTGGCAGTGCCCAAGGCCAGCCTGGACACTGGCACACCCTGGCACACTGGGAGCTGTCCCTGCCATGGCAGGGCTGGCACTGGGGGGGCTCTGAGCTCCCTTCCCACCCGACGCTGGGAGGGCAGCTCAGGCTCATACAGACTGTGCCTGTCCCTGCAGGAGTGTCCCCTGTGCCAGGGGAGGCTGTCACAGCTCCAGCCGTGTCCCACAGCTCCAGCCGTGTCCCACAGCTCCCCTGCCACATCCACAGCTGTGTTTCCAGTGAGGGCATCCCCTGCTCCATGGCGTGACCATGCCTGTGGAGAACAGCATTCCCTGGGCATCGGGGATGTCCCTGCTCGCCTTGCTGGCAGCAGCACCGATGCCGGCAGTGTTCCCTGAGCAGGATCCGGCAGGATGGGCTCTGTTCCAGGCTCTCTGTCGCCGTGCAAATGTCACAGCTCCTCCTGCACAGCGAGGAGAGGGAGAGGGAGAGGAACCACTCCCGGTTTGCACGATTGGGAGGGAGTGCTTTGGCAGGGAATAGGAAATGAGAGGGGAAATTGCCGCTGGAGCCGCTGCTGTGGCGATGCTCGCTGCGAGCTGTGCCAGTGACGGCGCTCGGAATTCCGAATTTGTCCCGGCATTCCGGAGCCAAGCCCACGGGTGGCAGTGGGACCAAGTGAGGGAGGTGATTCCTGCTGGCTGCATTTCCACCCCGAAGGCAGCAGCAGCAGCCAAAGCGGCATTTGGAAAAGGCGTCTGCCAGGGAGAAGTGCTGCAACCTGCAAAAACACCAGAGGGTGCCATGGCCTCAGTTATTTCTCTGTGCTCCGGGAGCTCGGGCTTCCCGCTCCTCTGCGGGCTGTGCCCATCCTCCTTCTTCCCGAGGGTCCCAGGGGAATTCAGCCTGGCTAGGGAAAAAAAAAGGTTTTACTCACTGAACAACGAGACAGAGCCATTAATTAGTCCCACAGATTAAAAATGAGAATAAATTAAAGTCTAGTGATGCTGCCAAAATGCCACCTGAGGGCTGGGGTGGATTATTCCCACTGGCAGGTCTCCAACCCCTTCCATACTTAAAATACAGAATTGTTGATACTTTTAATTGATTCAGGGAAAAGAAATCCCAAGCTCTTGCACGTTCCTCAGTGCTGCTGATTTTACTGAGTTGTTAAGTGCACTCAGAGTTTTCCTGTCCGAAATCAGGTGAGTTGGTTACACACCCGTTTGCCTGAATCCCTCCATTTTAAGGGTGATCAAGTTCCTGTCACTTGATACAGGTTTCTTCCTGTTTTTTTTTTCCCCAAATCTACAGTTCCATGCTCCTCAAGTGTCTTGGGACCCCAAGTAGTGAGGGAACTGCAGAATTTATTAGGGCTAAGTAATAAACCAATGTTTTCCCATGTTTTCCCCTTAAAATATGCCAAAAGAAAGATTAACAGATATCCAGAGCTTGTAAAGCCAGGCAAGTGGAGTTCCCTGTGGGAGGAAGGCAGAGGGAAATCCCTGAAAAGCCTCAGCAGGGCCCAAGGCCATGGCCCCAGATGGTTTTGGTGAGCAGAAGATGGACCATGTCAGGGAGCACATGTGTCCAGGGACAGGTGTTGGTTCCTTTGCCCACCCACCCACCAGCACCCAAACCCATGGGGAAGAAGGTGGGGAAGAAGGTGAAGAAGGTGGGGAAGAAGGTGAAGAAGGTGAAAAAGGACCAGCCTCTGCCCTAAAACCTGCATCTTGCTTTATATATTACTACACTCTAAACACCCAAAGTCTGAGTTTTCCACCCTGTGATATCACACACTTCTGTTCAAACTCCTCACCTGTAATCCCAGTGCTCTCAATCAATTCTGGAAGCTTCTCCACGGCCTCAGGTCAAATGCAGTGTTCTCTGGAGGGTCTGTGCCTTTCAGCACAGAAAGGCCAAAACTCTCAGCATCCAGGGTTCCAGCACTGAGGAACCACAGGATCCTGTGTTCATTTGCAAAGAGGGCCTTGTGTGAGGAAGAGGAGCAGAATCCATGGCAGGACAGGAGCCCCAGGCCAGGATTTTGTCTGGTGCCATGTCCTGAGGGCACAGATATTCCAGTGCCAGCTTGGGAATGGGCTGTTGGCAGCAGCCCTGGATCTCCCTCTGAGACCCTAAGGTGGATTTTTATACATATATATAATATATATATATATATATCCATGAGTGTCCCCCATGGATTGCTCCTGGGCTGGTCTATATGCCCAGAAATCTCCTCAGTGACCCGAGGGTGCCTTTGATGCACATCCCCAGTGATAGTGGAGCCCTGGAAAATGTTAAAAATAGTCTTTGAAAATATTGGGCCTCGTGTTTTCTCAGATCACTGCACCTGGGTAAGCAGTATGATAAATGATATAATTGTTAGATGTGATGATTGTTCAGTAATTAAATATAATTATTATATAACCATAAGAAGAATCATGAGAAACTATGTTGGAAATTTAAAGGGGGCTATGTTTAGCTGAAATCTGTGTATACAATAGAACAACATAAGTTTAATAATTAACATGAAAGTTATGTAATGATAGAGTATAAAACACATCCACCTTGAATGTATGGTCGGAATCAGATTTGGGTGGAACCACCCCGATTCCCAGAGCTCTTGAATAAAAAGCACCACATGTAATCCCTGATGTGATTGTGTGTTTGTGAACCCAACAGCAGCACTGTGAACCCTGATGTGATTGTGTGTTTGTGAACCCAACAGCAGCACTGTGAACCCTGATGTGATTGTGTGTTTGTGAACCCAACAGCACCACATGTAATCCCTGATGTGATTGTGTGTTTGTGAACCCAACAGCAGCACATATAATCCCTGATGTGATTGTGTGTTTGTGAACCCAACAGCAGCACTGTGAACCCTGATGTGATTGTGTGTTTGTGAACCCAACAGCAGCACTGTGAACCCTGATGTGATTGTGTGTTTGTGAACCCAACAGCAGCACTGTGCTGATTCAGCGTGGCTGGCACAGCCTGTGACACTCCTGGGCTGGCAGTGCCCGGGGCTCCCACAGAGCCCTTCTGTGGGCTCAGAGTAAATCCTGTGTGCACCAGGCTCAAGCAGTGCCCATCCCACCAGGACAGGTGAATCCCATCCCTTGGCAAGCAGGCCTGCAGGAAGCTGCAGCACACTCACTGCCCGTGGCATCACATCCCTGGCATCTGGCCTGAGAGAGCCCTCCAAAGGGGAAACCCTCAGCCCAGCTTTCCCACTCTAAAATCCATAACCAGCATCACTGAAGTGACAGGAGACCAGTTTGGTTCAGTTTTGAACTGGGAGATGCAGCAGCACCACTGGAATACAGAACAATTGTTTGGAGGTGCAGCAGCTCCAACGCTGCCATTTTATCTCACCCAGATCCCTTGAACAGGAACAACCCCCAGGGCTGCTGCTCCCTCTCAGGGCTTTGCAGGAGGGCAGGAAGCCGGGAGGAAGAGGCCTGGGATGAAGGCAGGATCCCTCTGGACAGGGTGTCACCCTGCTCCTCTGAGCCTTCTGAGGTTTACATTTTTGTAACGGGGTTTCTCACGCACTGTTCATGTAAATAATGATTGTTTTGCATTTCTTTCTGGAGGAGGAGAAATTTGATGGGCTGTTGGTTTGACCAGTGTCATTGGAGAGGTGTGGGAACCCAGCACATCGCTCCCGATGTCCAGAGAGGCCAGGAGAACCCTTGGGGGTCTCGGAAATCCTGGAATGTTGCCAAGAGTGCTTGGTAGCTTGATTTTGATCCATCCACAGAAGTGACAGCAGTTTGAGGACATGAGAATCACTTTAGAGTGAAGGGTGTAACAGGGACACATTTATAGGGTGAAATATAAACTTTAAGGTTTTTGGTACAGGGGGATTATGGAGACAAGATGGAGGGATCAGGGCGTGTCTCGTCCTTCTTCTTTCTTCTTCTTGTCTTCCATCTCCTGTGGTGATGTTGGCACTTGGGGATTGGTTCATGGTGAAGGTGCACTTGCCAACATGGGTGAAAAGCATTGGGAAATAAAAGTAAATATCATGTACATAGATTTTAGTATAAAAAGACACAACCGCCCCGTGGGTGGTCAGAGTGCCCTTGGCTG